TCCTCAACTAGTATAGGAAGTAAGTTCTTGTCTAAACAAGAAGCGATTACTACCTGCCAAGATTCCCCAGAGATTGGAGGGGGAGGGAAGGACAGACCCTCCTTACCATTATTATAATGCCTCCAACCTTTTCTTTGAACCTTTCAGGCTACTTTTCCTTATGCCTAGTTCTGGTCTTGTCCCTCCTTTCCTCTTCAGTGATTCAGTGATTACATGACAAGTAAAGTTCAAACTATTTGGTTGGCATTCAAGGCCCTTCACAATCTGATGCCATTCTAGTTTTCCTTCCTTATCTCATACTACTCTTCTCTCCCCTGTACTCTGTTCTTCTGCCCAGCTGGACTACTCTCTGTCCCTCCAAACACATTCTGTACTTTCTCACCTCTATGCAGGCATATAGGACTATTTCTGACTCATCCTAAATCACTACAGAGTTATGTGATTAAAAATTACATTTAATAAGGAACACGTAGGTATCTTGCCTCTGAGAAGCTATAAAACACAGATCCTGTTTGGCTTTCTCTCCCACGGTTGCTCACAGAAGGCTATTTTTACTTTTCACTTTCATCTATCCCTAGCCCCTCTAATTCACAGATCTGAGCACCATGAGACTTTTCAGTTGAAGGCTGAGGTTTAGTGTTTCCCTGGATCCTAGAGTCCGACAAACTTCCTAGATGATGGCTATGTAGGGGGAAAAAAACAATGTAGTCACCTACAGGGAAGGCAGAGAAAAGATCATTCATTGAAACACACTCCTCTAGTATTGCTAAGTGAGTTACATGGACTCAGGTTAAAAGGAATGTATTCATCCAAACTCAGTAGCAGGCTGAACTCAGACCATTACCTGTGGCAAAAGCAAAGGAGTCCAAAATATAGCTTAAAATAAGCTTAGAGCTTTTGCTGGCTGGGTGAGGCTGTGGGTCTGACTCACAAAGGTGCTGAAATAGCCCCTGGAACCATAGTCTGAAAAAAGCTGAGATAACTTCCCTTGTATGGAAGACATTGTATAGGATCACGGGTTTTCCTGACTACATTTCATCCCCACATGTGTGTCCTTTTTGATATGTGTTTTCTGTCCCCATGCGTTTCTTATGAATATTACCCCTCCCTCCAATAAAGTAGGAATTTGTAGGAGCATGTACCCCTGTATATGTGAAGAGATTTTCTATAATTTATTTTTCTATACTGTTACTTTAAAAATCTTTTGCTTTAAAATAATATCTTCTGGTTGATCTGGTGAAAAGAGAAATAATGGTAGGGCTTGCAAACTGCAGCTTTGAATAAAGCTAACCCAAAGTCTTCCTTGAACCTGAGATCTTTTCAGAAGGTTTATTATAACTTTTTTGATTATTATAACATTTAAGATTATAACTCTTTTTATAACATTCTCTGCAATTTTGGAGATTGTGGATTTTGGTTTACAATATCTGAATCTTTAGACTTATTTGTTAATGTGAATCCTTAGGAGCTTCCACCACCTTTTAGAATACATCAGACGGTTAGGTAAAGGGACAAAATCTTTGGAATCTCTAAATGTCTAACATTGCTTGGTCTCATCAGATGAATGAGGCTACTTTGTCTACTGCATTGGAGTGCTTTTAGGTCTGTGCCTGAATCCTATTCCCTGAACTTTGGGAGATAAGTATATTACATAGCCAGTGAACTGAGGAGGGACTGGAATGAGAATGATTACAGAAATAAATGCCATCACTCAACTGTGATAATTGTGATACTGAGACATGGTCACACCTTTTGGGAGATATATGGGTCTTTTTTTTCTAACTCAAAGACTGTATTACACTGATGTTAAAACAAACAAACAAATAAACAAACAGGGGGTAGTATTCAGACCAAATCCTGGATACATTCTTATTCAGTAAGCAAATGAAGACTCTCACTCAGATGATGAGCCCAAATGCTACTAGACATTTGGGAGCTCTAAAGTCTTTGTCTCTTCATCTGACTAGCTGACTTGACATTGAGCCTAGAAGATGGAGGAAGCTCCCCAGGATCCACATGCAAAAACTAGTCTAAAAACCCAGAGGTTATGAATGGGCAAGAATGATGTTTTTCATCTTCCTATGGCTTCCTCCAAACAGTGCATTCTACAATTTGATAGCATAACTCTCCTCCCTTTCTATTCTAACATCTATGAAAAGTAAGATACAGAGAAGGAGAAAGACAAGGGGTAGAGACCAGAAAAAAGGACAACATAAGGGTAAACCAATATGAGAGGGGAAATTAGTGACCAAAATCAAGAGAAGTAGAACTTATATCCTGCTTCTTCTCAAACTTCCTTGACTCCCATTAAGTGGAGTTGGGCTTCTTGGATTTTCACAGACTTTTATTCCTTCACCCCACAACCTGGGCTCAAGTTAGTCAGTGTTTCCTTTCTATAAGGGGCTCCAGGCATGGCATAGGAACATGGGTTCTTATGGGAGCATGATCAGATTCTGATGAAAGGAAAGAGAAATTTGCAGTCCAAAGATATTGAGATGGAGTATTCCCAAACAGGAAATATAGCACAAATTCAGGGGCCAGAGTCAATAGGGAAGAGTCAACAGAGGTTGGACAGTTTACTCAGAGAAATTTGCAGGGACACAGGGATAGATTGTTCATTATGCTTTCAAGCAAAATCTATCTGCTTTTTAAGTGTGCCTTATCTGTGGGCAGTCCCTCTTTCTGAAAAGCCACAAAGCTGGAGCTGCAGAGAACATGTGCAATCCTTTTAGATGAGATGGAGAAATAGGGCCTGGTTGATTGTACATGTAGGTGTACTGACCAGACTCAACCAGTCTTGACTAATGGATCAATTTCAACCTGGATAAATTCCTCTAGTGGAGTCTCTGCTTGATAAGGCACTATTTAACACTTTTCTCAGTGACTTGCTAGACTGAAGGCATAGACAATCAAATTATATCAAACTGTTATCAGATTGTAGATGGTGCAGAATTGGGGAAGGTAATTCTGCTGGATAACAGAATCAGGATCCAAAATTCTTTCAATGAGATGAATCTAAGATGATAAAATTTATTAGAGATAGATGATTTTATTACCTTGCAATAATATATTATACTTTAATATTATTAATATATGACATTTAAATGGATTATGTCTTCATATATAAATTTTTTTTAAAACCACACTGTAAGTAATAGAAGTTTATGGTTTCATGTAAAATCTTTGTTCCTTCTTGTATATCTGATTACATTGTGTTTGCTAACGACTGTTAAGTCTATACTCTAAGAAATGTTATAAGGGTAAATGTAAAGTTCAATACTCAGGCTCAAAAAATAAATCACACAAGTGCAAGATATGGAGACATAGCTTCACAGTAGTTCCCTGGGGAAAGAGCTGGTTTTTAGTTGACTACAGGCTCTATATGAGTCAAAATGTGGTTTGATAGTAAAAAAAAAAAAGTCATATGACCAAGAATGTCTTAGTGTCCAAAACTTCAAGACCTCAAAAGATTCATGATTTCTTTTATGGAGATACACTTCCTCTACTAAATCAGATTGCAATCTCTCTATACCATACTAACAATTTAATGAGTTTCTATAGCCAAAACCAAAATTATCCCATGGTGGCCAACCTTCTTGTGAATAGCCTGTCCACATTTAATTAGGCTGGTCTTTGGATAACAGGCTATCATGAGACCTGTATTCAAAGGCTTTCCATTTGGGCAAGATCTTGTAGTCTGTTGGCATAGCCTTCAAGACCCTAGGATCACTTCCACACCACAGTGGAACGTTGAAGGATGTTGTATTCAGAACAAGAGAGGCTATGTTTCACTATACTCTGTGATGTTCAAGTTGCATTTGGAGTACTGAAAACTGTTCTAGATGCCACATTTTAAAGGAGTATTGACAAGTCAGAGGGTAAAAGGACTCAACACCATGTGTTTTGAGGAAAAGCTTGTGGAATTGGATATGGTTAGCCTGGAGAAGAGAAAACAGTAGAAGACAATTACTCTAAAAATAGTGCCTTTTTCTAGGTGTCAGACTTGTTGTCATGTCTACAGCCTTGATATGGCATGTTTTTAAAGGATGGAGGAGGAATCTAGGAGTCTAACCAAATATTCAATTCTTAATGAACCCAAGAACCCAGAAATATCACAGATTCTCTCTCCCTTGTGGTGCACCGATAGACAGGTGAGCCCTGAAGTCACACATACAGGCTATGTTCTCCTGGCTTCTTTTCTGCAAAGCTTAGTTGACCAGCAGAGCAAACAGGAAGGTAAACACATAAAGACTTCAGCCTACCAGCACTGTACTTCTCCACCAAGCACTAAAGTGCTGCCTAGCTCTAGGAACAAAGAGGTAGATGGTGGCTCAGTGGATTGAGCACCTGGCTTGGATCCAGAAAAGATCAGAGTTTAAATCTGATGTTGGACTTTTACTAGCTATGTGACTGTGACTAGCTATGTCACCTCAGCTCACCTCAGTTTCCTCAAGATTAAGATGGGGATAATAATAACATTTACCTCACAGCGTTGTTGTGAGGATCAAATGAGATAATATTCATGAAAATGCTTAGCACAGTACCTGGCACATAGTAGGTGCTATATAAATACTTACTCTCTTCCCTTCTCACTCTGGACACAGGACCAAGAAGATAGCCTGCAGGAGTATTGGCTGAGGTTTGTTTTTCACCTAGAAATAGGATAATTTCAGTATTATTTTCCAACAGTCTTGTTGGGGATCTGTAAGGATGTAGAGGGCCACAGGCTGTTCGTGAGGTCTCACTGATGGGCGGAGGCCCCTCTCGGGTGATTGATCTATGAGCAAAGGTCGCCTGGTTTGGTGCTCCATTCTATGCATCTCTAACTTCCCTAGTTACTCATTAGTCAGTGTATTTGTGATTGGTGGTAGATATGTGCACGGACTGTGCGTGCACTGTCCTTGAGCACAGCATGGGTTATAAGTCATTGTAACTTGAGAAAGAGCTCCTGTTATTTTACTATATAAGTAAGTGCTTTGCTAAAAATAAACGGAGTTGCTGCCATCTTTTCTCCCACCTCATCAAATCCATGCTTGGAGTGAAAGATCAAGCTGGTCTTGAATCTTCAGGTGATTGGGAAATCCTAGGTCCTATGTAGGCTCTGTAGCTGAGTGAACTAGTTGTGCGCAACAAACTGGCGCCCAACGTGGGGCTGCACTGCTGCCGTGAAGCTGCACTGAAGCTGCACTGAAGATGCAGAGAGTAAGACAGCTGCATGAAACAGTCGGGACATGTCAGGACATGTCTGGACAAAGAAGATGCGACACCCACGTCAAGACACCGAGGTCTGTTGGAGCCAGGCAGCTTCTTAGAAAGAGGTCTCCAACTCGTATCCCATTGCAAGACTACGGAGTGGTAAGAGAATTTCTTATCATGAGGCAAAATCTAGGTAAATTCTCAGATAAGGAACAAAATGTTAGAGTAATATATCAAGTGATCAAGGAACAGGGGTGCTCGGTAACTCCCAAGAAAATAAGAGAGTTTCTAGACATTATTGATATAACATCTCCATGGCTTCCAAGGGAAGGGAGTTTAGATTTAGAACCATGGAAGATAGTGGGGGAACAATTGACAGAATTTTATAATACCAAAGGCCCGAAATCAGTTCCCCTGGGCACTTTCACTATATATAATCTTATAAAAATGGGCTCGCAAGCTGACATACAGGGTGAGAAGAGAAAATTCCCTGCCTGTACTCAAACTTCTTCATTGTGCTCACCTAACAATAGTAGAGCAGGCTGTCCTGAGAGAGAGAACAGACCTAAGATTTATAGGTTATATCCTGACTTAGCTGAAGCTTCAAAACCCCCTCCACACTCTCCATACCCTGAGCTGTTAGATAGACTCAAGCAGCATTACGAGAGGTCCCTATACAACTACAGATTGTTTTGCCTTTTATAAAAACCAAAACCTTAAGAAAGATTTTGCCTGGTTTTAGAATACCATGGAAAGAAAAGATAAAATAAAATAAAAATAGTATTATTTCATTTGTGTAGGGAATTTCTGACAAGTTTCTCGCTTTTGGATTCTCCCTGTCATTTTGTTCTATGTTTGTCTGTGTCTGTGTGAATGATGGTCTGTGATTAATGTTTATAATTTATTTGATCTTTCACTGCCAGGCAGCCAAGGGCTGCAACTGGATTCTGAAATGCTGATAGTGACTTTCTCCCCTTCCCTCCCTAATATCAGCTGCATTCCCAGGAGCGGGTGGATGGGGGAGAGAATGGGAGAAAAAGTACTTCATTATTTAGGTTATATAATTTGACAAAAGGCAAGAAAGCATACAGGAATAAAGAAAAGTATGGATAGAAAGAATAATATAATCTGTTTGCATGAATAGCAGGAATAGATGATTTGAGAGTAAAAGATTTGGAAACTTTTGGAGAAAAAATTCTCTTTCTTTTTTGCATTCTAAGGCTCTGGCCAAAGCTTTGGGTGTAAGATTGAAAGATTATGTTGAAAAATATTCTCTTCCTTTCTCTCGAATTCCAACCCTGGCCAGGTTGGGGTGGGGGAGAAAGAGGGAAAAGATAAGGAGGACGAGTTTTCCTCTTAAGACCAAAAAGAAAAGTGTTTAAGTATTGGAACACAATCTAAAGATAATTTAGTTCATTCACATTAGCAATATGCATGTTTCAAGTTTTAAAAAATCTAGTCTCATTATAAATTGGTACACTTTTATGTGTTATGTCAAGCAATTTTTAATAATTTAGATGTTATTAAAATGTGAACTAAAAGAAACTGAAAGGTAGTGAGATAACTGTGTAAATTCAGCTAAATTATTTTATCAAGTCCGGTTAATCTTGTTCTATGATTTTTTATAACTGTCATTTAGAAAATCAGGTATTTCTGTCTTTACCTATGATTAAAGAACAGCTTAGAGCTAAAACAATTTAACTATCACTCAGGAAAATTACCAAATTGTTAACTAAGTTATTTGAAGTTACTGTTTTAAAGTTAAGACCTAGAATTTTTAATTACTTCTGAGAGAAAAGGAGGGGCACAAGGCAATTCCCTTAACTTTGTAAGCTTGCCAAAAGCTCCTACCAGCTGTGTGCCAAGGTCATCTGCTCTGAGAAAAGAATTTGTTTATGTTATTGAGTTCCTAAACAATTCATTTAGCTTACTGAGAAATTGCAACTTTATATAAATAATTTCTAATAATTGGCTTTCTCACCAAGACAAGTTTAAATGTGGGAAAGAAAGGATGTTAAGTAAAATTTCTTATATATGTGAGACCTAGTAAATCTTTATTGCTTATTGCATTTCTATGAAAATAATTAACTGTATCTGGCTTTAAGCCATAATCAGTGAAACTTACTGCTTGAGGTAAAAGACTCTTAGAACTATAATTAATTTTGTTTTGAGTTTGAATTTGGGTATAGTTGTCTCATTAAATCAGTATTTCCCATTTTTCCTATTGTGATCCTTTAAGGAGGAATGTTTCTTACCATGTGCCGAAATTTTGTTCATAACACTATTAAACTTGTTAGAAATATTCAGACAAAAATAATTTATTATATGGATTGCAGTTGTCCTACTACTACCAAACTCTCCTTATTAATGCCCAAGTTTTAACAAGCCTTTCAGTCTCATAGATTTATAATTACCCCTGACAAGGTACAAAAGGTATCACCCTTTGCTTACTTTAGGTATATTGTTCTACAGTCTACAAGCATACCACCAAAATGTTACAAATTAATCAAGATTCCTTGATAATTTTTAATAAATGTCATACAATTTTTACGGATATTAATTACTTTTAGCTTGTCTAATAAATCACCACTAATCAATTATTTTAAGATGAATTTAAACTACTAGGATAACAGATAGCTAAAACTCAATTCATTTCCCCTTAATTTGTGGGCACGATATTTTACATTTACTGAGAGCTGTTATTTTCTCCCACCCACTGTTTGTGCTTTTTCTATCCATAAAACTGACAAAATACAACATGAAATCTAATGAACTTGTTTGGGTTCCTTAAAATTCATCTGTTTTTATTATTGCAAAGTAGTCAGGAAAATTAACGATGCTTTATGACTTCCTAGCCTTTGATAGTTATTGATTTAAAAGATTGCTTTTTTACTATTCCATTACAAAAAGCTAAAAATGATACATTACATGGATGACATTTTATGTGCTCATCCTAATCCTGAAGTGTTAGAAGAAATTTTACAAAAAACACAAGAATTGTTGCAAAGTCATGGGCTTCAAATAGCCCCAGAAAAGATTCAAAAACATCCACCATTTCAATATTTAGGCCATCAAATACTTCAAGAGAAAATAGTTTTACATCCTCCAACAATTGACCTACAAAAATTGAAAACTTAATGATTTTCAGAAAATTATAGGAGATATACAGTGGCTTCGGTCACAGGTTGGCATTCCAAATTATAAATTGATACCCTTGTATGATTGCCTTAAAGGTGATCCTCAATTAGATTCACCCTGGATACTGACCCCTGAGGCAAAGCAAACATTGTTGTATATTCAGGAACAAGTAGTTGGAGCACACACAAACAGGATTGATAGGCATGAAAGCGTGGAAGCTTCTATATTTAACACCCCAAATTCTCCAACAGCAGTAATACATCAGAAACAAAGGCTTTTAGAATGGGTATATTTACCATCTCAGTCAAAAAACACTTTAAGTAATTATATGGTCCTGATAGGGGACTTAATACATAAAATTGATAACAGATGTTTAACATTATGTGGCACGCATCCGGAAGTCATATACCTTCCATTTTCTCAACAAATAATTGAAATGGCAATACAAACAATGCCCAACTGGCAAGTGAATATCAATTTGAAGCTTGTGTATGGAAAACCCTTAAACATCATGTAGTCTTTGAGAATTGGCCTTGGATACAACCCACACATACATCAGGTGAACCTGTATACGGAATTAATGTCTTTACTGATGCCACAAAGATGAATAAGGCTTCTATCTGGTGCCCTAAAAGAAAGGAATTACAGGTGATTAATACACCTTTTACCTCCACACAACAGAATGAATTATATGCTGTCTATTGTGCCTTTCACAAATATAAGGAGCCAATGAATATCATCACAGATAGTAAATATGTAAAAGGAATCCTAAAACACCTAGAGACTGCAATAATAAAAAATACTGGTAATAATATCTGTCAGTTGCTTCATGATATACAACATTATATACAGAATAGGACAGAAAAATTTTATGTTTTGCATGTTCGGTCCCATACTCTTGCTCCAGGACCAATTTTTGAAGGTAATGATTTTGTTGATAAATCTTTAACAATGAATGTGGAAATAGCAAGGAATAGTCATAATCAATTACATTTATCTGCTAGGTCTTTAAGAACTTTATATGGCATAACAAAATCACAAGCACGTGAAATTGTTAAGCGCTGTGCTACTTGTGTGCCTTTTCAGCCCCCTTTTCATGTTGATGTACACAACCCCAAGGGACTTACACCTAACACCTTATGGCAAATGGATGTTACTCATTATTCTCCCTTTGGAAGACAAAAGTATGTTCATGTTTCTATTGATACTTATTCAGGCTTTATTTTTGCGACTGCTCAAGCGGGTGAGGCCTTCCGCTATGTTATTAATCATTTGCTTCATTGTTTTTCTTTCGCTGGCCCACCTCAATGCTTAAAGACTGATAATTGTCCTGCATATATTTCACAGGGTTTTAAAAAGTTTTGTACTGAGTTCTCTATTAGTCATACTACGGGCCTTCCCTATAATCCTCGTGGTCAGGCCATAGTTGAACACGCCCATCATACATTAAAGATGGTGCTCCAAAAACAAAAAGGGGGAGCTAAGGGATCCCCATGGCATCAATTAAACACTGCACTCTATACTATAAATTATTTAAAATTCGACAGTTGTAACCTCTCTCCTGCAATGAAATATCTGGCAGGAAATGACAACAGTACTAGTGACACCACTAAATCAAACAAATTCCTTTTTCCTAAACACAATATGAAAGTCATGTGGAGAGACGTTGATGGTGTCTGGCAGGGCCCAGGGCAAGTGCTAACCTAGGAGCAAGGGTTTGTTTTTATTTTCACAGGTGATGGAGAACTTTGGGTCAGAACGAAGGATGTCCGCATTATCCGTTCAGAAGGGACAAGGCAAGCAGAAAAGAAAACACAGACCGGCCAGGAATCGAAGGAGTTGAAAGAATAAGAAGAAGGCACTACATGAACTTGTAACCAAGCTGTGACTCTTGTTGTTATCGTCGGCAGTGGTGCAGTACACAGCAGCAGAGACAGGAAATACAACAGATGGACTTTTGTAACAAAACCGCCATGGCTAAGACTGGCTACTTGGGGAGAGACAATACCTGAGGTTGTTTTACAAGGGAATGCATCTGCAGGATTGGGGAAGGAATTTCAGTTTACATCTTGAAAGAATGATGAATTTGGGAGAATATAATGTTACTTGCAATAGTTGCAGTGTATCTGAATGCATAGGACCCAAGATTAGTGACCAAATTATTTTCATCATTACACAACAAAAGTTTGCTTTAGTGCCTGTGAAAAGCAAAGATTGGTATGAGTCACGTTCTGATCATATTTTTGGAATAATAGACCAAAGAAATCAATTAGCAATTGTTAGGAAGAAGAGATGTATTTCATGTATAGTGTTAGGAATTGTGTCGCTTATAGCTATTGTAACTGCTTCTGTATCTTTATCTCAATCTATATCTATCGCAAGAAATGAAATGGTTCAAGCTGATTTTATGAATCAATTAGCTTGCAATGTATCAAAGGGTTTTCAAGCATCAAAAAGGATAGATGAGGGATTTTACCATATACTTGAGGGAATGAAGGAAACCATTATTGAAATAGGTGATGAATTGGATATTTTAGAATATAGAACACATTTAAAATGTGATTATAGGTGTGAATTCATTTGCCTCACCAATGTTAAATACAATGACTCCCAATGGGGGTGGCAGAGAATACACAGACATCTGAATGGGCTATTTGGGAATTCTACCATTGCATTGGATATTGATGATTTATATAAAATTGCTGATGATATTGGGAGGGCGGCTGATGAAGATTTGATGCCAGATAAGACTGCCCAACGTATACTTGCTTGGCTAGATGAACTCCGTAACCCTTTTGATAACCTTGGACATTGGCTTATGTCTTTATTATCTTCTTTATTGCCATTATGTTTACTATTGCTGGCCATGCTGTGTTTTGGACCGTGTTTGCTCAGGTGCATTGCTAATCAGATAAAGGACTTTGGGACTGAGCTTTATATGCTCTGTCTCCAACAAAAACAAAAAGGGGGAATTGTTGGGGATCTGTAAGGATGTAGAGGGCCACAGGCTGTTCATGAGGTCTCACTGATGGGCGGAGGCCCCTCTCGGGTGATTGATCTATGGGAAAGTTGCCTGGTTTGGTGCTCCATTCTATGCATCTCGAACTTCCCTAGTTACTTATGTCATTAACAGTGTATTTGTGATTGCTAGTAGGTAAGTGCACGAGCTGTGCATGCACTGTCCTTGACCACAGCATGGGTTATACGTCATTGTAACTTGAGAAAGAGTTCCTGTTATTTTACTATATAAGTAAGTGCTTTGCTAAAAATAAACGGCGTTGCTGCCATCTTTTCTCCCGCCTCATCAATGCGTGCTTGGAGTGAAAGACCAAGCTGGTCTTGATTCTTCAGGTGATTGGGAAATCCTAGGTCCTAGGTAGGCTCTGTAGCCGAGTGAACTAGTTGTGCACAACACAGTCTGACACCAAGATACTTTTCCTCCCTCAATGGGCTCCATACCTTCAAAGATATTATTTTCCCAGGTTGAGGGATGGAACCCAAGTTCTTACCCTAAACTTCTGGCTTTAGAACACAAACCCTACCCTTCATTTTCCCAGGGTGATGAGCCTGCCATGGGTGCTATTAATTCATGGAATACTAGAATCTCAGAACTGAAAGGATCCTTGGCATTCTTCTAGTCTAACAAATGCCTGAATGGGATTGCTACCCAAGTGATTATACAATTTTTGCTTGAAGACCTTCAAGGATTGGTGGCTTACTACTTCTTGAAGATGCTTTTTCTACTTTTGGACCAATACAATTATTATGAAGTTTTTCCGTATGTGGAGTAGAAACCTGCTTCCCTCTAACTTCCAACCATTGGTCTCAGTTTTGCCCTCTGGGGCCAAGCAGAACAAACCCAATCCCTCTTTCACAGGACTGATCTTGAAGAATTTGAGGACAGTGATGATGGTACTTCTCCTCAAGTCTTCTTCTATTCCTTCCACGGTCCTTGTCGGGGTCCCTCCCTTCCCTCAAGCACCCTCAGAGCTAAGCCTATATCCTTCAGAGGGAAAAAGGGACCAAGATGGAGGAGATAGGGATGCTAGTTTTGGTACTAAACAGTCACCAAGAGATGCAAGTTGTGTGGCAATTAGGAGCAATGTGACATTCTAGGTTTTTATTACTTAAAAAAATCTTCCTATTGAGTTTCTCATCCCTGCCCCCAAAGCCACTGTCCTCTGGGGGCCCATTTGCTTTGGGATTGGCTGCCAAGAAATTGCAAACATGTATTCAGGTCTAAGGGCTTTCTAGGGTGCCAGCTCTCTTCCCCAAGGCCCTGAGAATGAGGAGCCACCCCTCGAAAACATTTTCCCTGATCTCTTCATGGGTGCTTAGAGGATAAATGAGGTCAGTTCAGGACATGCAGGATCCAGATGGCTTTTTCCAGATGTCAACTTCAGGATTGTTTCCTCATAGTGCTGTTTCTCTCATTCTTTTTTTGACAGGCAGCTGGATTTGAGGTCCAAAAGACTTGGATTCAAATCCTGCCTCTGACATTTACTAGCAGTGTGACCCTGGGCAAATCACTTAACCTTTCTGGGCCCTCAGTTTCCTCACTGGTAAAATGGACATTATAAGTATTTATGCTGCCTACCTCCCAGGGTTTCATAAGGCTCTGATGAATAAATACTTATGAATTGATTTGATCACCTTAAATGCCAGTTATTATTATCATTTTATTAGGACCAATATGTGCCTCTTGCCCAAGGAACACTGGCCTCTCTTGTCCTGAGAATGTCCCCTTCCCTTCCTCTCCTGTTCCCTTTTGCATGAGAACTACCAATGGAGAGTGGATGGGGCTGGCATTGTGGATGTCCTGAGCAGTTTGAGGATATGCTCCCATAGATTCAGAATTCCCTTCTTCCTGTCTCCCCTCTCTCACCACTGGGACTCACTGGCTAAGGTTTTATTTTGCAGAAGGGAGAACAGAAGATCCCTGGAGAAGAGGTGAGGGTTAGGAGGGGGTCAGGCTTGTGCTTCTGAGAACCTGTGAAATCAATCCACTTGTTCGGAGGATACTTTTAGCCAGGAATGTGCGACTGCAGCTACTTTCTGAGAGCAGGAACTTTCTGATAGGCTGTGAAATTGTTTGGGTGTCATACTGTGAGAGGAAGATTTATGAGCTGTAGGCTCTAAAAACAGTTTGAATAGCTGAGCGAATGTGGCTGGTTCAGAGGAAAGGCAGAACCAAGGGAATGAGACAAGCAAATGTGGTCAGTGATGCTTTCTTCTTCACCAGTTTTAAATCCTGACTCTATTTCTTGTCGCCTAAGAAACACTGTGTGGGCCACACTCCCTCTTTGGGTCTCAGTTTCCTCCTTTGTCTGTTTTGTAAAGCTTGACTTTTATACCAACATTTAGCTGGCGAAGGGCTCCGTCTAGGGCAGAGGTGTCATATGCCTGTCCATTAAGGCCAGTAACACTCCTGAGTGAGATCGAAACCTGACTAAAATAAAATTGTGAAATATTTAACAAAATGCATAAAAAATACAATAGAACATAAATAATGTTACTATGTGGTTTTCTAAGTCAACATACAGCCTTCAAGGATTCTTATGTACAGTTTAGTGGCTCTTCTGTTTGAGTGTGATAGCACTGTTCTACCTGAACTGTTTCAAGCACAAGGAATATATATATAACCTAGAGAGGCCTTCGGTTAGCTAGAGGACTGTTATGTGGAAGATATGCCCTGTGGAGGGCATATCTGCATCAGGGGAATCACAGATCCACTGGAGCATCCCCAGCACAGGCATGGGGCCCTGCACACAGCAGGCACTCCATAAATGTTTGTGGACTTGAACTCTCTGTCATTTGTGCTTTTTATTCATTTAATTAATTCAAATATTTATGAAATGCTTACTATGTGCAGAGTGCAATATTATATGTATATGCTGGGGCGGGATGAAGGCTGACTTTGCTGGAGGAGGAGTAAGCTAGTTAAACTAAAAGGTCCAATTCTGAGATTCTGTGATTTGGCTATGGGCTGGCCACATCCCCTTCCACTCCATTTAGTTCAGCCCAGTTCACAGCTTCCATCTGTCTTAGCTTAGTTAATTGCACATCATAGATATCTGACCCAACCATGGGCTCTCCACCCAGCTCAGATGAGAGAATCCCTGACTAATGAGAGGCTCAGAGCAGAGAGAGGGGCTGAGTAAAAGGCAAATAACATATTTCTGTGTCCACCTAAACTGGCCTGCTGAAAACCAGACTACTTCAGTCAAAGTCCTTTTCCGTTTTACACAGGGTGAACAGGGCATCCTCACTATAATTGTGCCAGGCCTTATAAACTCTACACATGTTTTAGAACATTATGTTCTAGGAACATAGCCTTAAGAAGCACAAAGGGGGAGGTGGGCCTCCTCAGGGGTCATAGAAGGACTTGCAGACATGCTATATCTATCCTCATGTCAGATAGACAGGAGGGAGCTGGGCATTTTGGGAACCAATGATCACTTTTCTTGATTATTTTATGTTGGAAGACAGAGGACATCTCCCCCTCAGCCTTTTCTTCTCCAGATTGAACATCCATAGGTCCCCTGATCAATTCTCCTAGGACAGTACTGGCCATGTGACCAAAGGAATTAACTTTTCTCTGAGTCTCAGTTTCTTCATCTTTAAAATGGGCAATATCAATCAACAAGCATTTATTAAATCTCTAGCATATGCCAGGCATTGTACTGGGAGCTGGAGATATGAAGACAAAAACAAAAGTTTCTCCTTCAAGAAGCTTACATTCTATAAACCACTACTTACACTACCTACCTCCCAGGGTTGTTGGGAAGAAATCCCTTCATAAACTACAAAGTACTGTGAAAGTGTGAGTTACTCTTCATCATCACCATTATTGCTATGGTATTGAGTACCTTCACCATCCAAGGGGTCCTCCTTTGGGCATGTTGTGGTTCACCAATACCCCTCTGGAACTTCAGTGCCCCAAACTGAATGTAATCCACCATAGATGGACTGACCAGAGCAAAACAAAAAGGAACCATCATCCCTACACCCTAGATACTTAATACAGCTCAAGATGGAGACGTAATAGACCAATGAATGCCAGGCTTATTTGTACCGATGGAGATAAAAATCACTCATCCCAGGAAGTAGTGATAGGTATGTAGCTGGATGCATGAAGTAGATCTTTCTACTCTTCATGAATTTCTTTTCAATACCTCCTTGAGCCCCAGAACTTTGCTATCTTAGCCTCCACCAATTCTAGATTAAAATTAAACATATATAAAATATCTCACATGCTAGCCATCATCACCATCACCATCACCATCATCACCATTACCATCATCATCATCATCATCATCATCATCACCATCACCACCACCATCATCATCACCATCATCATCATTATCATCATCATCATCACCATCACCACCACCATCATCCTCATACTCAATGGGAGCAGAAAGTTTGTGTACTAAAGTGATGCTTGTATAGGCTCCTGGATCCATTAGATGATCAGCTCTTTGAGGGCAAGGACTGTCTTTTGCCTCTTCCTGCATCCCCAGCACTTAGCATAGGACCTGGTACATAGTAGGCACCTAATCACGTTTATTGAATTGAATGAATTAAATGTATTTTATTTGGATATTCAGTGGTGCAGGATTCATAGATGCATGGATCTAAAGCTGGAAGTGACCTCAAAGACCATCAGGGAAGTTCAGTGTTTTGCCCATGGTCATATAGGTATTAAATACCAGAAGTAGGATTCAAACCCAAGTCCTCTGAGCCCAAATCCAGAGTTCTTTCCACTGTTGATTCCCCATAGACTCAGAAGATTTGACCTAGAAGAGACTTTAGTGATTATTTACTCCTACTCTTTCATTTTACAGATGAGGAAACTGAGGCTTGAAGAGAGGAAGCCACTTGCTGGGTAGTTGTAGTTGCACAGTTGTAAAAGCAGGGCTAGACTCTCTCTGTTCACACATAAGGTATAGGGACTGATCTAAACTAGGTTTTGCCCCAAATGCTCCTGAGCAATTCAACACATATGCAGGCAGGCAGGCAGGCATTGTTATTGCTGGTGGTGGTAGTTCCTTTTTATCTGTACCTGGAGTCTTCTTGGTTGAGTGCCCTGGCCGATCCCCTCGACGGTGCTCAGAGATGGCTTCCTCATCTCACTCCTGTACTTTGGGAGGAGGAAAGACCAGTGGGTTTTGTTAGGAGGTAGGTTATACACAGTTAAATTTCTGAGCACCCCACACTCCCCTGGGGCTTTTTATGGGACGACTCCTAAGGGCAGAGGACAGAATGTGCGCCATTCAGGAGGTCTCACCAGTTGATAATTCATCCATGACCCACCTTATCGTCCTGCCAGGAGGAGAAATGTGTGGGTGTGAAAGGTGGAAGCCAGAAGTGCTAAGGACAAAGGAGCAGATGCTACAAATCACACGCATTCCTGTTCTCCAACCCAGCAAAGGCTGAGAGAAGATTCCTCTCTCTTTGACCCTCTTGGGATTATGTCTCCAACCCTCCCTCCCATAAGAAATCTCCCCTCCCCCAATTAGACTGTGAGCTCCTTGAGAGTAGATATTGTTTGGGGTTTTTTTTAGCCTTTCTTTAACCCCAGCATTTAGCACATTGCCTGGTATATAGTGGGGCAGATAGGTGGCACAGTGAATAAAGTCAGGAAGAATTGAATTCAAATCCAGCCTCTGGCACTTACTGCGTGACACTGGGTAAGTCACTTAAACATGTCTGCCTCAGTTTCCTTGTTCAAATCTGGTCTCAGACACTTACTAGCTGTGTCACCCAGAGCAAGTCGCTTAACTCTGTTTGCCTCATCTGTGAAATGAGCTGGAGAAGGAAATAGCAAACCGCTTCAGTATCTTTGCCAAATGGGGTCACGAAGAGTCAGACACAACAGAAACAACTGAAAAACAACTAGCACATAATAGGTGCTTAATAAATGCGTCTTGAGGGACAGCTAGGTGGCACAGTAGATAGAGCTCTGGCCTTGGAGTCAGGAGGACCTGAGTTCAAATCTGACCTCAGACACTTGACACTTACTAGCTGTGTGACCCTGGGCAAGTCACAACCCCAATTGCCTTAGCACAAATTAATTAATTAATTACAAATGCTTCTTGACTTGACCTGGCTGCCTTGTGGTATTGCAGAGCTCCACTCAAGTTTGCTCAGCCGGAAAAACCATCCCCTGCCTGGGAGCAGAATCCTGCTCTTCCCCCAAAAGAGGGCTGGCTATAAAGGATTGGAGCCTATGTGCCTGGAGAATGGATTTCCCTTTTCTCCGGATACTTTGAGGCTTTACTATATGTTTCTATAGATCTAGTTTATTGTCCAATAGAACGAAAACACCTTGAGATCAGGGATTTTTTTTCTGTTTGTTGTCCTTGCATCTTTTTGAGAGAAAGGGCAAAAGGCCTCCAGTGTGTGGAGTGGACTGTGTGGGTGGACATGGGTAACATGAGATGAGCAGGAATAGAGAGGTTGCATTCTCTAGCCTGGGAGATGTATCCCACTTCACAGAGTTCACAGGACTCTTTGGATAGCCCTGAAACCTAGCACAGGGCTTTGATAAATGATTGTTGGATTGGGTTGTCTGAAAAATTATAATGGAATGTGAATCTCAGATTCCTTCTGGAGCCTGTAAGGCGCCAAGGTTCTCTGTTCCACCTTGTTTTAGATCAATAACTCTCATAGTCCATGGGGCTTAGCCACCTGTGGCTTCTGTCTCAAGAGTACAGCCCACAGAAACAGCTGGCTTCAAATTCATGAAACAGCATGGGGCAGCAGATTTCACATCATGGAATCTAGGTTCAAATTCCAATTCCCCCACTTACGACCTGGGTGACCTTGGTCAAGTGGTACACCTTCTCTAGGCCTCTGTTTCCGTAAAATTAGAGGGGTAAACTAGATCAGGGATTATTAAATCAGTGCCTGTAAAGGTTTTTATAAAAGTCTTTCCGATAACTCTATTTGAGTATAATTTGTTTCATTTGTAACCCTCTGCATTTTATTTTATGCATTTAGAAACTGTTCTGAGAAGGGGTCTGGAGGCTTTGCCACACAGCTATCACTGGCCTGAGACCCACACAAAAAAGGTAAGTAACTCCTGAACTTACTGACCCTAAGATTCTTCTTCTGGGCCCTGGAGCAGTCCCCAGGGCTCTGTTTTTCTGCAACAACAGCTGGAGGTGAGTCTGAGTCTTAGTGTAACCAAAGACAGTGGTCCCTACAGGCTGATAACAGGGCTGACTCCTAACGTTGAGTTCTCTTTGGTGTGGAATTCCTTGGCAGCCTCTCTGGCCTGGATCAGAGCCCCTCTTGGCAGATATCCAGGCCTTGCTCTGGAGAAAGCTGAGCCCCATTCCAGTGAGACCAAATTTTAGCAGTCATTTACTCTGGTCCACTCATTTTACAAATGAAGAAACTGAGGCTCAGAGGAAAGAAAGCCCAACTTCAACAACTGATGGACAGCTCAGTTCCACCTTTTTCTTTCTCATCCCAGCTTTCTGCTAGCCCTTCCGGAAAGTCCCAGTAAGTAAAACTGACCATTCTTCTTTCTTTGCGAGCTAGGTATTGGGTCTCAGCTCTGTGCCTCAGGCCTGTGTAACCTCAGGCAGTTCCCTTTTGGGTTCTGCACCTGCTTGTCATTCAGTCATTTCAAGAATGTCCTACTCAAGTTTGGATCCTATCTGAATTTTTGTCTCCAGGGGCTTCCATCTAGTGCACCAAGCGGCTTATGGTGTTTGGGTCAAAGAACAAAAATCGAGCTCTTGGAACCGATGCTTTTATCTGACACAGACAGAAAATAATAACAACTCCAATGTGTATGGTGCCCCAAGGTTTACAAAAAGCCATTTCTCCACACAGTTCTCCTTTCTTTGCAGAGGGGAGAGGCTGGCTATGGAACATTTTTGTTGTTCAGGTGTGCCTGACTCTTCTTGACCCTGTTTGGGGTTTTCTTGGTGAAGATACTAGGGGGGTTTGCCATTTCCTTCTCCAGCTCATTTAAGCTGAGGCCAACAAGGGTAAGTGACTCACCCAAGATCACACAGGTAGTATCTGAGGCCAGATTTGAAGGAGGAAACTGAGACAAACAGGGTTAAATGACTTACCCAGGATCACACAGCTATTAAGTGTCTGAGGATGGATTTGAAGTTACGTGTTCCTGACTGCAGGCCTAGCACTCTAACCACTGGACTACTCAGCTTTTTTCCCCCTTCTTTTTTCCCCTTGGTTGAGTTTTTCCACTTCTTTTTTCTTTTGTTTCAGGGAATAAATCTCTTACTGGGGGGTCTGAGGGAAGAATTTATTTGGAAATAAAAGTGATGCGAAAATAGGAGGTCAATAAATTTTAAAAGCATACACACAGATAAAATGCATTCATCACAACCACTCTTTGAGGTAGATAGCGCAAGTATTTTTATCACCATTTCACAGATGAGGAAATTCATACTAAGAAAGATTAAATGACTTCCCTAATGTTAAATACTAAAACCTTTCTAAAGCAGGAAGTGAACCCAGGTTTCTCAGATCCCAATTCAGCTCTGTTTCTCCTATGCCATACAGGGTTCCCCTCTGACACATATACAAAGGGCTTTTCTTCATAAATATTCAAAATGAATTTGTTAGACTGAATTGGGTTGTATGTGGATAAGAACTATTCACTTAGATTAAAAGCTCCTTCTTAAGTCTCAGGCATCAGGAATTAATGGACTGGTTATAGCCTTGGGAATCTTCCATCCAACAAGTCACCTGTACTTCTCTGACTCAGTTTCTCATCTGGGAAAAGAGTACGTGTTCTGTGACTTGACTTTGGACTCTGGACAGAGGAGAAGTGAGCTTTTGTGAAACAATAGAATAATGCCCTTAGAATGCCTTCATTGTCTTCAGAATCTTCTGCTAAGCAGGCTCAAGTCAGAGGTTGGGATGCACCTTTCAGAGTGGGAAGACTTCCCCCTGACTCCCCTACCCTGGTGCTTGGTGCACCAAAGGACACCCTGTACCCTGGCCCTGCACCTCCCTTTGGACACTTGACTCTGTTCCTCAGCCAAGGTCAGAGATCCAGGCACCTGGTCACACTTATAACTTTTATTGTAGCTCGCTGACGGCAGGGGTGGCCTTCTCAGTGACAATGTCTCTCAACAGCTCGATTTCAGGCAGATCCTGAGCTACAGGCAGGGGTGGGGAAAGGATCAGGAATGGTGGAGGCTTCTAATAAAACCTTCAGATTGGTGTTCGAGTCTCCTAAAGCTTAAGACTGATGACACAGCCCCGTCTGAGGGGCAGCTGATGCACTCGCCCTCTCCCAACCTGCTTTCAGGCCTTACCTTCTCTCACGGGGTGCTCAGAGAGCAGCCAGATCAGGCTGGACCATTCTGGTCTTTCCTCTGGGTGTGGGGCTCCCTGTGTGCAACTGCTCCCCCCACCAACTCCTTTCACTCAGTTTCATTCAAGTCAACATTTACTGAAGTTGACTATGAAGGAAAGGTTTCTCTCTACTCTCACCCCACCCCACCCCATGGGGTCTTACCCAAGTAATAATTGTACATAAGTGCTGTTTGATAAGCGCTGACTGAATCCAAGTCATAATGATACAGTGGAAACTGACTTTGGAATAAATTGGTGGAAGTGGTCGTTCAATTGTTTTCAATCATGTCCGACTCTTTGTGACCCCATTTGAGGGTTTTCTTGGCAAAGGTACTGGAGTGGTTTGCTATTTCCTTCTCCAGATCATTTTACAGATGAGGAAACTGAGGCAAACAGGGTTAAGTGACTTGCCCAGGGTCAGTGAGGAAGATATAAATGAGACTCCTAAGCAGCTGGGGATAGAGTGCTGGATCTGGAGTGTAGAAGGCTTGAGTTCAAATTTGACCTCAGACACTATGTTACTAGCCCCTAAGCAAGTCACTTAACTTCTGTTTGCCTCAGTTTCCTCAACTATAAAATGAGAATAATAATAGTACCTACCTCCCAGGGTTGTTGTATCAAATAAGACAGTAATCATAAAGTACTTTGTGAGCCTTAAAAGGTTATATAAATGTTAGCTATGGTGATGATGATGATGATGATGATGATGATGGTGATGATGGTGACACAGTCCCTTCCACCTAAGAACTTACAATCTAATGAAATAAGAGTGGGAGTGAGGGAAGAGGGA